TTAACTGATTGAGGATTTAGATGTACTAGTCCCTGAGGCATTTGCATTTGAATACTGCAGGGATGCTGGAAGACCTGAAAGCTTTCACAGTGGGGGAGAAAAAGTCAGTTTTCCTTTTTATGGAATCAGCCCTGTGTTGCAATAATCTATAAATACCTTATATGGCAGAATTTTACCAGGGACCCTCAATTCTCCTCTCTGCCCCTCATCTTATGCTCCCAAAAGAAAACAGACGACCCAATGACTATTTCCAAAAAAAAAAAAAAAAAGTCATTCTAAAGTGAGTTTCATTTTTAGTTTAACATAGTTATTAGTTGGAAGATATATTTTGATAACTAAGGTTCTATATAAAAATTTGGCTTTATAAGTTGGCCCATGCCTCACTAGTGAAATTGATAAAGATTCATGTTTCCAATTCCGCCCCAGTTTCTACAGAAAGAAAGGAATTTTAATTGGAGCCAGGGGATGGGGATAGGAAAGTCTAAAAGATGAAATTAATCATGGTAATAAAACAAACCCCTGGGAACTCAGGTGTATAGAAAGCATTTAAGCTCAACAAAACAAAATTAAATTTAATAAACTATTAGTACTCAGTGAACTTACATGGATGAATTTATTCAACTACCTTAACATAAGCTTTGATCTGCTTGTTTACATGTATTATATAGTTAATCTGTACTCATTGAATGGGAGTTCCAAAGGAGATGATAAAGTCATGGAGTCTACAGGGCTTTGGGCAAATGAATAGAACTGAAGGCATAGAATGTTCTAAAGTCAACTAACATTCAGAGATTCGATCATCTTAACTGCATAATATATACATCTTTATTGAACCAAAAAATGTAAATCTGAATTTTCTAACTTACCTCAGTTATCAGAATTTGGAATGGTTTTGATACAAGATTCCCTGAAGTTCAGGCATAACAAAGTAACAAAGCATCTAAGGTGAATGTAATAAACATTTGCTTCTTTAAATCTTTCTATAAAGAAAGTTGAATATTCAGGCATCCACTTGAATATTCAGGATTGCCATTTGTTTGTTAATGTTTAGGTTTCATTTCAAAAGAAAAAAAAAAAGACACTCAGGACTTAAGATCAGCTCTTGCTGTGAATTCTATTTTGCAGTAGTAACAATGTTCCCTGACTTGGTATGTGCATTACCTGCTGGTAGCCAAATGTGCTTGTATTATTAAGAAGAGAAATGGGTCACAGAGATGGGAATCAGAATAATTTCAAAAGGGTGGTATACAGAGATGACTGAATTTTCAAAAAAATCATAGTACACATAGACCCAATAAAATAATAGCTATCTTTGAGAAATAGCCTATTGTATTAGGATTCTAGGTATTTTTATATATTATGTTTTATGTTGTGTACAAGTGAATATAGTTTAATAGGATGCCTATTAATTGCAAAGCTGATTGATTGTATTATTTTTAATAAGATGGATGTGTTCCTTTATGTATCTACTAACATTAAAAGGAAGTTGAAATTTGTATGTGTTATGCTGAATGTGCTTGTGCAGATTTAGAGAATAAATCTAAATCTAACTTTGGGAAGCATATTTCACTTTTTACAATATGTTCAGAGACCTGTGCCAAGTAAGAATTTTATTCCTGCCTCTTTTGATCACTTAGCTTTCTTTAACTGTGGGTACCTATTGCACAAAACAGAACATTTGCAGGACTTTTCAGAGCCACATGGCTGGTGGGAGTCCTTCTCTGCTCTGCTGTGCCCCCTGCAGACAAGTGAACCTTGAACACCTCTGACCGCAACCCCCTCCATGGGGTCATGAATATTTTTAAAATTGTCTCAGGACAAAGATTAATCTTCACCTTCAAAACATATTCTTTATTCTATTCTTTATGATTCAGTCTTTCTGTCATGTCTTGAAGTATCAAAGATCCTCAAACATTTCAAAGGAAAAAGTTCTCCCAGTGCTTAAGGCAGATGCATTGCCTGGGATTGACCAACTCTGGCCTTGTAGGTGCTTATTTTCAAATGCAGCACAATGCAGGAAATCCAGTCTAATTTTCTTCCAAGTAACAGCTTTGGACTTCCAGTTTGGGTTATAAGCTAACATAGCACAATGGCCAATAGGCCAAATCTGTCCCATCACCTGTTTTTTGTAGCCACAACTAAGAATGTTTGTGTGTGTGTGTGTTTTGTTTACTTTTGCATTTTTAAATGACTAGAAAAAAAATCAAAAGACTAAAACTGGGTGACATGTAGAAACTGTATGACCATCAAATTCCAGTGTCACCAAATAAAGTTTTACTGGAAGATGGCCACCACACATACACACACACACACACACTCCTATCCTCAGTGGCTGCCTTTGCACTACCATGGTGGAGCATAGACGCTGCAGTGAGGCCATAGGAGGTCTCCAGCACCAGAAATATCTACTCTGTGGCCCTTTACCAAAGACGTTTATCAACCCCTGATATCACAGATTATAGTTTAACTTTAGGGTTAATAAGATCACAAGAATTCCAGTCACTACCAAAAAACACAAGACCACTGCTGTTCACTAGTAAAGGCAAGGTGTGAACCCTCAGTAAAATGATGAGAAAGCTAGTGCTACTCCAACTATTGCCTTTGTTGTCCTTGAAACAACATTTGGGATCCCAAAGACAAAAGTGTGTCCGTGATCATTACGTTGATAATGGATTTGAAAAGCAGTGGCCACCCAGGCCAGCCACAGCCCACTGAGGCCTCCTTGGGCCTCTTCCCCAGCTATTCCTTCAGTTGTGTGCTGCCTGAATGTCAGTGAGGGTGCATGTAGGGAGACAGAGCAATTTCCCCACAGGGCCAGAAGGAAGGGCCAACATTCAAAAGTTGGCAAAATAAGAGGAACCAGGATCCCTTCAACCGCCCCCCCCAGCAGGGTTTGCTGTGGGAATGGAGGGGACGAGGGAATTTTTAAGCTGGCCTTCTCACTTTCTCAGTTAAAGGTTCATATTAGTGGAATGTGTGTGTAGTAACCTCAGTATTTATACTATTTAGCAACAAACTGACTATTAACAGTCTCTTAAGACTTTGGCTAAAACAACATTTTATTCATTCAGAACTGATCTGTGCGTGTGGTGCTGCCAAGCGGTAATGTGCCGATAAAAACTCGCCTTCTCTTGCCAGTGCCATCTCTAGAAGACTGCTTTGTGATTGTGTGTTGGGTGTGGTTGTGAGAACTAGCACCAACTCCCAAACAGGAGCTTTTCTGCAAAATCTTGTAATCCATCAGACTTTGACGTGAGAGAGAGCATTTCTGTCCTTACTGTAAGAGTCCCCATGAAAAGCAGTGACCTTTAATCCTTTGCCTTGTCTTAGTCTTCATCATAGTAAAGTTTTTGTCTAAAAGGTTACCAGTTTTTTTTTTCACTGAAGATACTATAGCATCTGAAAAAGGCTTGCAGGAATCAATTATTCACCCAGTGGATACTGAATAAACACCTGTCATTGTTCTGATAAGTGCTGGTGCAGATTCAGAGAATTATTACATACGACCTTTAACTTTCAGGTGTTACTAGTCAAATGGGAAAGGCAAAGTTCACCCATATGAAATGTGTAAGCATTGCAGTCACATGAAATTTTAAGCACCAGCATGAAAAGAGTTCAGAGAAGACATAAATCATCTTGAAGAAAGAGGAAATGCGATTTGAGCCACACATTGTAGGAGTGTACGATCTTGCAAAACAGTGTAGAGAATGAAAGTGGGCATTCCTAGTGGACTGAAAACTGAGTGAAAGCCAGAAGCAAAGTATTACCTAAGTCAAGCCCAGGGCCCAAGGAGCAAAAGACTGAGGCATATGTAAATTCATATACACATATAAATTTATATAAATTCATATATATTCATATATAGGTATGAATATAAATCAGTGAGATTCCCTAGTAAGCGTGTATGTCTAGATAGATTGATTCATACACACACACGCATACACACACAACCATAATTATGTTGAGGACTGATCAAGGAAGGCATTGAAAAATGACTAAATCTCTTAGGATTGAAGAAATAGAATGCAGCATATTTTAGAGGGTTTGGAGACAGAATGTGGAGGCTTTTGCTATGATTCAGGCCACAAAGTGATAGAATATAAATTAGGGTTAAGTCTTTGTGAATGGAGGAGAAGAGTGAAGCTGATGAGTAGGTCAGAAAGGGAGAAATAACATTAAGGGCATGGTCAAAACCAAAGTCCTATAGCCAGGTGTGGTGGCGCACACCTGTAGTCCCAGTGGCTTAGGAGGCTAAGGCAGGAGGATTGTGAGTTCAAAGCCAGCCTCAGCAAAAGCAAAGCACTTAGCAACTTAGTGAAGCCCTGTCTCTAAATAAAATACAAAATAGGGCTGGGGATGTGGCTCAGTGGTAGAGTGCCTCTGAGTTCAAAGCCCAGTACTTAAATAAATAAATAAATTTCCCAGTACAAAAAATAAGAAAGAAAGACTCTTGTAAATATTTGGGCCACTTGTTATACTTAGAAAGGAGACCAGTTTGGAGGTCTAGAGATTGAGTTGAGGAGGTAGGGACATGTCATTTTGGCAACTCCAAGGTCTTTTAAGATCTGTAGCTAGCTTACGTGAACCTGGAAGCCTACAGGTACAGATTTAGCACTGAGAAAGGAAAGAAAATGAAACTGAAGATCAAGCCTTGACAACCCTTTTGTTTGCCAAGGAAGAAAGCCCTGAAAGATTCTGAAGCAATAGGAATGAGTTTCATCACCACCTAAAGTAATACAGAGCAAAGAGGCCACCCGGGGAGGGGTGGGGGGAACCAGGTCCACGCACACAGCCCATGGAAGTGAGGACTGAAACCAGGCCTGGAAGACAGGAAGGACGTTGGTAACATTCTGAAGGCTGGTTTTAGTTGCATGTTGGGATACAAACTCGACTGCCTACACCCACCTTAGTGCATCTCTCTTCCTCTATTATACCTATTAAAATTAGCTTTTAATTTCCTAATGGTGATTTTTGTTCATTTATGTTTTTTGTTCGTCTAGGAATTTATCTTATTTTGCTACACAAAGCAGCCCCTCTGCTGTCATTTTGAACCTGTGGGAAGCTCGTCATCAGCATGATGGTGACCTTGACTCCCTGGCCTGTGCCCTTGAAGAGATTGGGAGGACACACACGAAACTCTCAAACATTACGGAATCCCAGCTGGATGAAGCAGACTTCAACTACAGCAGGCAGAATGGACTCTAGTCCACTTCCTCTCAGGAGCAGAGGGATGGCCAGCTTTGGGACTTTGGCTTTAAATGGGAAAGAAAAAGGCAGCTCTCTGCCCAGTGGCATTTGGGGAATTCAGCTTTGTTTGTAATCAGTGAGATACCCTGGTTGAAGAAACTGAATTTTCTATAGGTAAAACATGCCAGTAGAGCAAAGGACAAGCTCTCTTAGATGTAAGAGGGTTTTATTGTCTCCCCTGAATCACACGCAGGTCAACACTGGATGCCCTCCTCAGATCTGGAGTGTCTAGGATAGACATGAGGGCATATTGAGACAAAAGTAGCTATGGAGAGAGATGAGCTACAATAAAGCTGAAGGCAGAGATTGATTAAGTGCATGTTTTGAAACAGGTTTTTAATGATGTGCCCCACAGGGCCAGCAGATTCTGGTACCAGATTGTCAGTTTTCTACCAACTGGCATTTGTAATGTCAGGAATCATTGTAAAACTGACTTTTAGAAGTAAAACAGGGTTGCCAACCCATTTGTATGACTTTTTCAACATCAAAGAGGGCGTTTAGATTCTAGAATCTGAATACACCACACCAGCACCAATTTCCTGTCTATACTAGCCACTGAACGGAGACAAGACCCAAAAGTCAGATAGACGACGAACTAGTTCTCGTAGTGTACCTCACCTTCATTTTTTCCCAGAGACAAATCTACCCACTTCTCTCCTTCCTGAACTTCCAGAGTAGAGAGGTTTCAAGGAACATAATGAGATTTTTGAACATGGAAATTTATCTCTTCAAACTCAACCAAGTAGGAGTATCTCTATTCCCAGTTAAGCCAGACAAATTGCAGAGTGCTGTTGGAACACAGCTTATTACATGGATTCAGAGACAGGTCTGGTCAGGCCAGGTCCAAGGAAACATGAACTGCAGATGTCACGGACCTCAAATAAGCTGTAATTCTAAGAGGCAGGTGTTGATCCAGTTCTCCAATATTTTTGTAACAAGGGAATGATGAGATTTACTGCACTTTTCAATCCAAGTTCTGGAAAGTTTCTTAACATTTTGGTACCATGCCATCATAGAATCTCTCAGTAGGGCCACCTAGGTCACCCTCCTTTTGCCTCTTGAGAAATTAGCAGACAGGCTTTGTCCTAGATGATAGCTGAATAAATAGACCTGAGGAATACTTGTCCCAGAAACCACATCCATCATTCAAGGAGCTTCAAGCTCAGCCTCACCAAGTACCCTTTCTCCAGTGAACCTTTAACATGTGGCCACTGCTTTATTTTTCTCTTTTAAAATAGGAGGCAGTGGTATTGTACAGAACTCAGATTCATCAACCATTCATCATCCTCATCTTAATACTTTATTCCATCTTTTTTATCCTCTTCAGTGGTTTTTGACAAGATGCCTGGTAGACTACAGATGAGCAGATGCGCTCCAGCTCATCTTCTGGTGTTTGTTTTCCTTAGCTGTCCACGATCAAGACAACCAAAGTCAAGGACCTAGGTTAACCCCAAGGCAGCTAGTCAGCTACTTAGAGATTGGCTACTTTATTAAAAGTAGTCACGGAATGGGGGAGGTGGGAAGTACTTGGCACTGGAGATGCAATCAATTTTTTAAACACTTTTATAGATCCCTTGTTTAAAAAAAAATGTTGTGAATCTCCTCATAAGTGGAAAAGACCTAAAGAAAGGTTGAGTTTAGGATACCATGGATAAAGCATTGAAGAACTCTGGAATGTGTTGGCCATTTTCTCTAATGTGTGGTGTATCTGGTCCCCTGTATTAGATAGAAGGCTTTGCCACATGTAATTCAAAAAGCATCTTGCTTTTCTCAGGAACCAAAGGCTTATTATATAGAACAAACAAATCATCTTAGAACTGTCAAGCATATTTTCAAACTACCATATCTAGATCAGGAAAACACCACTTTGCTAGTATGCTCAACTTGTTCATTCCTTCTAGGGAATAATGGACAGCATGGAAATGTAAATCACTTCACATCGCTGGTATAATTTTTGAGAGAAAGAGGTGTTAAGTAGATGTTCAATTGCTCACAATAAAATTGAGTTCACTAGCATGATTGGCTGCAGAAGGAATCTGCATTAGCTGTTGAGTAATAAATTATCTAAAACATTGTAGAGCTTATTCGAATCTCCATTTTGGAGGATTTTATTTTAAGTCATTATAATTAGCCTTATAATGGTTTCATCTATTCTGTGAATCCACACCAGATCCTTTCTAGACTTTTTTTTTTTTTTTTTGCATTTGAAAGCAGAAGTTTGGTTTCCCATAGAACCTACTAGATTATTTTAAGATGAGATTATTAATCCCTAAATCTGAATTCTGTAATATCCTCGCATGGGTTTGGTTGATTTTATTTTGTTCCCTTGTTTCTTTGGGTTTTCAGGATTCTTTTTTTTTTTTTTTTGTATTTTTTTGGGGGGATGAAGGGATGGTTTTTGTTTTGGTCTGGGTTAATAAATGCTTTTTAACATCAAATCACATAAAATAATAGAGGAAGAAATCGAGAGATTCACCTTCAGTTTCAGCCCAAGTTTCAAGCAATGCATCTTTTAGTTCCTTTGGTTTCCTTTTTACATTCTTCTCTTAGTTCTGCTAGGTTGCTACAGAAGATTTCTGTATATGAAAGTCTGTGATCATTGCATGTCAGCGTTGTGCCATGTTTTACAATGGAATTTCAAAGAGAACCCATGTTTGTGAGATTTACAGACCAGGGTATGAGTGTGGTGGGAGGGGGTCACCAAAGTCTCAGTGCCCACTTGAACTTGTGGTTATTCACTTGTCCTAAACCCTGCTCTATTTTACTGTTTGCCAGTCATGACACAAATGCCCCTCTTGAAAGAGATTTACTCATTAGTCCCAGCACTTAATTTGGAAGTCTTACTCTCCTAGTACAAAATGAAGCAGAAACTAAAAGTGGCCTTAAATACTTCATAGGTTACTTAAAATTTTTACAAAATATCCCACTTAATGCCAAACCTCCCAGTGTTCAAAGACAGTGAAGTCTTAATTGTCATGCTTTAAACATGCCTTAAAATTATGCCACCAAAATACTACAATTCACAGCTTCACCAGACTGCAGTGCCATCAAGTTAATTTATAGTCTTTACAACATTGCTTGCGCAGTCTTACTGGTTTACATTAAAATCCTTTAAGCCAAAAGGAAGCTCGCTCAATGGATTTAAATGCAAACTTCATTTACCGGTGCAGGAAGTCTCATAAAACTCAGATGCACTCTCACAAAAATTTTATTGGCCTTTTTGTAAGAGATGAAAAGGAATTGACAACAGTTCTCTTTAAAGAGGGGAACTTTTTCTCTTTTTTATTATTTTTATCTCCAACTGCAGAGGTGTTATCCTTTGCCGTGGTCCCTGTATTTTTCTTCCAGTTGGCTTGGAGAAGGAATATTAAATCACTGAAACAGGGTTCTCTTTGGATAAAAAAAAAAAAAAAAAGCTCTGGATTTATTGCAATGATTTTCCTTGAGAAAAAAAAAATATTTCTCAACATCAGGATTGATAAGCAGAATGTTAAAATGTTGTGATTGGTTTTCGATAGTATTCTCTATTTGCCAAACTTCTGGCAAACTTACCTGTGAAATTCAAATCATCAAATCTTTTGATATGCTTTCATTGTTTCCTCTTAGCTGTTTTCTCTTTGATTTCTTAGTCTCTCTGCCCTCAAATGTGTTGAATGATATAGCTATCAGATGTATCTAAGGTAATGTTTTCTAAGGTCTCTGTTCCAACTCTGTGAAGGTCACAGGAATCAGGAAGGAGCTGAGAATCGTGCCTCTCTGGCCCATTCTGTGGCCCATTTTCATTATGTTTCCTCATGAAACATTGCAAAGTTTGAATCCTTAGTAATTCCCATTGACTGGACTAGAGGTGACAGCCTTGACAAATGGGAGAACAATTTGTTGGCCTACAGATGGTGACAAAATTTTATTAGCCCTTTGGTGTTTGTTGCCCTAGCGCTGTATTTGAAAATTGATGCTTTAGCCAAAAGCTGAATGGCCACCGTTTCTGTAGTTTCCACTGTTTTGTCTGCATAGAATTTTCCTGAACTAACAAGCAAAAACGTATTTTGTCAAATGTCACAAAAGTGAAAATGTTACTAATTTTAGACGTGTTGCATATTTTGTGTTTTTCCTTTCCAAACTCTTTTAAAAAGCTGCAGTTTCAAAGCTGTTTGGCTGTATTGACAGCATGTGGTGTTTTTTGCAAAAGCAATTCTAGGAGAGCCAGTGTCTACCATGGACTCCTCACATCCCCACTGCAGGGTCATCAACAAAATCAAAATGGCAATTTGTATGCTGTAATTTTTCAAAAGATAAAAGGGGATGGAAACCAGACCTGGCTGTTAGTCACTAGTGTGTAGTACTGTGATCTGAAGTAGGAAATTTAACTCACATAGAATAATTGTGGTTTTTGAAGCAGCTACTCATTGCTTTTTCCTTTTGCTGTGAAGATCATGGACTTGGAATGTCCTCATGAGGTGGGCCTAAGACAGTAACATTTAAACTTCATGTCTTCAAACCCACCCTCCATCTGAATCCAAAGACAAAAAAAAAGACAGTAAGCTTCATGGTTAGGCCTAAGCTTAAAATTTCCTTCCCACCTCTAATACTGATTTGATCAAGGGTTATATCCTTTCTTTTTTCCCAAAAAGTTTTAGCTTTGAATTGCAGAATATATCACTGAATTTAGTAATGTAGTTCTCTGTGTGAATAGAAACAGGTATCAAAATTCTTTTACAAAAGGCATAATTACAATGAAAACACCCTTTGGTCTCAAACTTTGCTGAACACTCAAAAAGTGTTTCACTTTTCTCAAGCATTATTTACACCCAAATTCCAAAATTGGACAAAGGATGCAGTTTCCTTAAAATGTAAACTCTATAGTAGAGATTTAATTGTGGTTCTGGTGAATCATAAAAGGAGAGATAATATTTGAAGAAGTTCATAAGCAGAATATCATTCCTCCTGACCCCTTCACTGAGACATAGGCATTACAATCAGAATTGGACTTAATAGCCCCAGTGTTCCTCCTTAGCAATCTCTGATGGTGCTGAGGAGGGACCACCAGGATGCAGCCATCTAAGCCTCATTAGAGAGTCCCTGAGCGTGATCAATCAGAAATACTCCTTGAGGCTTATTCTGGATGTAGCCTGCTCTCATTTGAAACTTCTCCCTAAGAAATTGGGGAAACACTCATACTGTCAGAATTTTTGGTCAGAAAAGCAATTTTCTCCTTTTCTTAACTGGAATAAAGACTTAGAATTCCCATTGTTCCTAATTGTATCTGATTGATACACACGTTCCATTAAGTCTTGACCTAGAAATATTGCAAACATAAGCAGGTAGAGGGAAACTGGCCTCTCCTAAACCCAACTCGAAAACACATCAGTAGTTGTTTACCTCCATTTCTGTATGGAAGAATTTAAAACAGATTTCATTTTGTTCTGTTTATTTTGGGAAGGTACATGGGGGTGTTCTTCCCAGTGATTCATATCTCAAACCCATACCACTCTCAACTTTTATTTGATGTGTTCAAAGCCAAAAAAAAAAAAATAATAAAAAGCAGGGCTGAACACTTAATTTGACATGAAGCTGAAGGAGTGGGCAAGGCAGAGGAGAAAGTCTGAAGAAAGCATGGCCTTGGCTTCATACCACACTTTTTGTGCCTTGTATTATCAATGTAAATTCTGAATGTTGTACAGTAAATACGGATGGACTTCTTAGAGAAGGCTGCACCGGCTTCTTTTTCAGCACATGTACATATCTATAAATATATATACATATATATTTGGTAATGCCAAACAGCTGTGTTATATTGTACTGAACAAAATGGACAGTTTGGATGTTTTATGTAGAGTTTGCAAAAAAAAAAAAAAAAAAAACCTGGATGGTTACAGACTTTTCGAGATAAATGTACAGACGTAAATTACTGCATATCAGTTATTTATGAATAAAGAGTCTTTTATTGACATTTTAGGATACTCCATGAGTGGAACTTTGAAATCTCAACAAGGACCCTCTTATATATCTCCCTTCACATGCAATCAGGAATTGGAATGCTAGCTACAGGGACAATTTCTACATACTTGTTGACATAGTGACCCTAATTTCTCACTCTGGCCTCAAGAGGGAGGCTACTGAAAGCAAAGATGATCTTCTAACATTCTCATCCCACCTAAAGACACACACACATACTTTTCCTTATGATATAATTCTATATACTTCAAGGTTATTATAGGCCACAGCAAAACGGATATCTTTCACCTTACTCCTCAAATGGGTTATTTTTACAGACTGTATCACTTTGCCTCTCTATGGGAAAATATTAGGAAAGTAAGTAATTACAATGTTGTATGTTTCCAATACATTCTGACTGCCTGAATCTGTTTTAAATGTTTTATTTTTTTAAGTGCTGAGAATTTTCAAGAATTAATCATAAGAACTTGTAAAGCTAGTCAGTCAGTTCAAACAATTTGATCTACTCAAATATGGCTTCTCATCTATTTAAAATAGTTATGATTTTTTAAAAAGTTGCAAATCTGGTTTAAACCAGTACTTTTTAAAACTTTTTTGTTTTATTTTTTAGTTGTAGATGGACTTAATACCTTTATTTTTTATTTTTACATGGTTCCGGGGATCGAACCCAGTGCCTCATGCAAGCCAGGCAAGCTTCGTACCACAACCTGGCCCTAAACCAGTATTTTTTCAAAGTTGTTTTTTTTTTTTCTGTTTTTTTGTGCCACTTGGGAATGAATGTAGAGCCTCGCACACTGAACTACATCCTCATCATTTTTACTATTTCATTTTGAGACAGGATCTCACTAAGTTTCCCTGCTGGCCTTGAACTTATGATCTCCCTGCCTTAGCCCCTGTAGTAGCTGGGATAACAGGTATATGCCACTGGACTCAGTTTTTGCTTTTAGTAAACAAAACACTTTTTTTTTTTCACAGAGTACAGGTTTTGTTTTGTTTTAAAAATTAAATTTGGAAAACTATGAAAATAAAACATTACTTTCTAGACTTCTGGAAACATTTATTAGTGCAATGGGCCTCATTATATGATAGTATGCAGAATTTCCAAAACTTTTTGACTAGTCCTTTTTCTTGTATCATCTTATGGAACTGAGAGTGGTTCCAGCTATTCTTCCTGACCACTTTAGGTTAAGCAGAGCTTTAAAACTGATTAACATATATTTAAACTACTGGTAGAAGAGGAATTAGTTTAAGTTAACTTACACTAACTAAATCAGTTATAATAAGGACAAACTTAGCTCAAATTTTCAGTTTTATTTGAATAATTGGGAAAAATCCAAAACATTTATTTTTTGTCAAAACAGATTTTAAACTAGAAGAATGATGTAACCAGCACAAAGATACAGATATAACTAATTCAGATGAACACTTAGCAGATCAGGTTGAACCTATAATAAACTATCTAAAATAATTTTTTAATTCTTTGCTTAAAAATGTTTTATTTACTTAGGGACCAATTTTGAATTAATTAAGTTTGTTAGGCTTATTTATGCTTATTGCTTATTCTATGTAACCAACATGATAGAATTGATTTTATTGTAATAGTCTACTCATTACTCAAAAATATTTATTCATTATTTATTCAGCATTTACTATGGGATATCAGAGTATGAATTCAAATCCTAACTTTGTCATATAGCCTTTGATATTATGCAAGATACTTAACATTTATGCGTTATGCATTAGATAGGGATGATAATGATGGGATTTTAAATTCTCCCCAAAGTCTGAAGACTGTATAGAAAAGAACATATAATCCCTTGGCATACTATGTGGTACCTAGTAAGCAGTCATCAAGTGCTAAATTTATCTTATTTTAGAGAGACAGTACGCCTAGTAGTCAGTAGAGTCTGATAACAAAAGTTTTAGGCAATAATCCTGAGTCTGCTATTCTCTGAATATACTGCCTTGGCCAAGAAATTCTTTGTATTTAAAAGAGCATAATCATATCAAGTTCAGTGGCATGAAGTAAATGTTCAAGAACTATTATGATGAGCAACCACACCTGCAGCTGTCTCTGGCTAGTTCTTGTTCTAAAGAGAGATGTGCCAGAGCATTCTTTACCTAACCACAGTAAACTTACAAGGGGATCTGAGATACACTCTATTTAGCATCTTTCTGATACCTGAAAGTTATTTATGAAGGAAAAAAAATGTGTGTACTACTAACCATGAGGTAAGTGAAAGGAAATTTATTTTCAAATATAAAGGTTAAAACTATATACAGTAAGGTTTTTAAAAACACTCAAAATCACATAAATTCATAAGACAGAATAATATTAAAGGAGAAATTGAGGCAGCTGATAGACAAATATGTATTTAAAGTCTATTACATATTTAAATTATAGTGTATTGGCACACAGCACATACTCCATCAGTGACCTGACCATTTGCTGGTTTTCAGATGAAAACTTTAAAATTATGAGTATATGCACAAATTAACCATTAAAGAGTTACCTAAGCACTATTACCTGCTAAGTGCCAGGCTTCTCATCTATGGGTAGAGTATTCATAAATAATGCCCTTGGTAACTATTGAATTATTGACTTAGTCTTCAGGAAGCTTGTGGTCTCTAAGTCAAGGGCTTCAACACCATCAAATGCCCAGAACAAGAGGACAGACTGTGCTCTACTCCATATGCCTCACCATCCAATCCATTAGGTAGGGTGTGGTAAAGACTGAGAAAGAGAAGTTTGCAGAGTCTTTTGAAGTCTGAGCTTGGAACACTATCATTTCTGCAATATTCTAACGCTCAACATAGCTCATAAGATCAGCCCATTCAGAAAAGAGAACACACCCCATGATCAGAATTGCTGTAAAAATCTCATTGCAAAGGATGTAAATACAGAAAGGGGTGAGGAATTGGGGTCATGGTTTTAATTTCTCCGTCATAGATGAGTAGAATTTGCAAATAAAAATAAAGGAGGAAGAAGATTCAAACAGAAAGATTAGCACTGATAAAAATATTAAGCATTCTATTCAAGAGAGGCTGCCATACTGTTTTTTTATGCCCATACTCCTTATGACCCCTTGGGTCTTCTATAACAGCATTTCCCAAACTTTCATGCTGTTGTTATTAGGTGCTGATCCCATGGTCAGCCATGTTTGGGAAAAGCTAAGTTAATCCCATTTACAGAGGTTTCTTCATGGTGATACCTCTTAAAGGCTTCCACATAATAATTGTAGTTACTTGAATACGTTTTAGATTCTAGGCATTTTATAGGGATTAATTCCTTTCATATCCAAGCAATTAGATGCAGTCAGCACTATTATTATTCATATTTCATAAGTAGGGAAACTGAGAAAAAGAGGTTATGCTAACATGCATTTAAAATCATTCAATCAAGGCTATCATTTGCAGCATTTAAAAAATATTTGTCAACTAACTCTTATTTAATGAGCATGTAGCAACATACCAAAGTTCATACTTGAGGATTTATTTTTCTAAAGATTTACAAGAGATAAATTGTGTCTTCCACCTTAAATTAATTTAGTTTGGATTATCTTCAATTGTTTTTGTTTTTGTTTATCTATTCAAACATTTCTTTGCACTTTGAAAAATTTTATCTCTCTATATAAGACCATAGCAATATTTTAAACATTTTAATTCTTGTCTGTGAATGCATGTCTTAACAATTTGTCTATAACTCATTAGAAATATATTCTTAAAACAGGTAGGAATGAGTTATAAATATTCTTGATACACCTTATAAAGACTACTTTAAGAAAAAAAGCTGGAGGCATCTTTAACAAGCAATCAAATGACTTGTGTCAAATCATCTTCCTGTATCTAAGCTCAGAGCAAAATTCAATGTGTCTTTTCTTTCTATGGAAGGTTGAGTGTCTAGTCATCAATAATGCTGTGCAGATAAATGAAAGAGCCCAGACTAGGATAAAACAGCACACAAGCTAATCTTTGCTCTTATGCCTCATAGAATCTCAGACAATTCATTTTATTCTTTGAATCTGTTTCTACATCTGTAAAAATCAGCATCATTAATATTTGTACCACTTCCCATATTTGTCTAGGGCAGAGATGGAATGAAATATTTTACATGAAAAAAAAACTTTAGCAAACTGCTATGCAGGTATTTTTAAATATAATGAGAACTGCACATAAACAAAAAATCAGAATTTGATTTTCTGGACCAATTTGTTAGTAATTCACATAAGCATTTTTAAGCATAAATGACTTGTTCCTTTACCTACTTCTATCTCAAGGTTAAATAATTTGGTTAGAATACCCAGAGAAATAGAAATGGTCTTTTATATCTCTAAAATCTAAACTCTTTGAGAAAGATCATAAATACATGTATGATTCTGTCAATGTCATAAGTAAGATATACAAAAATCCTAAAGTCAATTATATATTTGTTATTATCACTGAAAATTATGAAAGTTGACATTTCTATTCTAAGCTCTTATGGGCCCAAAGTTTCATTTCTTTTTTAGCATCCTTTAAAATCTAGGCAAACAAAGAAACTCAATTCACCCTGTACTTGTGACTTCTGTAATCTCAATGCTTTACAC